CTGCTTTCTGCCAAAGCAGGCCCTGGGGAATCCCAGTGCTGCCAGCCGGGGCTGGTCAGCAGAAAATGAGGACTGAAAGGCTGCCTGGGTGAAGGTGCTGCAAGGTGGAGGCAGTCTGGGGAGGCTGGGCATGAGCTGGTACCTTGAGATACCCCTCAGGAGCCCCTCTGCTCCTATGGACTGATGCCTTTGTGAATCACCACATTGTGATCAGTTGTAATATCCCTGGAGTTTCCAGGGTTCTTGAAGCAAAAAGCCTGGCACACCCAGGCTGCAGGTATTTACCTGGAATGGAGCTGTTTGCCAGCAGCTTAGCCCAGCCCCTTCTAGGAAGGAAGGGTGAAGTCAAAAGTACCAAAACCAGACCCTGCTTTGGGTAGGACGGTGAGATATCTCCCAGCACTTTAGGATCCAAAGAGTGGGGGGATAGGAGCAAGATCTGTGGGCTGGGACACAGGAAAGCTAGGTTGTATTCCTGATCTGCTGAAGAATATGCCTGTATCCTTGGACAAATCACTTAATCTCTGTATGCCTTAGTTTCCTGTTAGCAAATGATACTCCTTATCTTTCACCTCTCATCTCAGCAGAGGAAAGAGTTTGTCTTTTAGTATGTATCTTATTACAGTTCTTTGTCCGGTGGCTGGGGCCCCTCTACCTTGATAAAATAAGTAATTGAATTTAGATTAAATTGTCTCATATAATCCTGCTCAGTGGTTACTAAAACACTTGAATGAAAGTTCATTCTGAGCCTGTCTTTCCATTTCCTCATAAGGCCAAGACATGAAGTAATTAGACATAGACGTAGGTTGTTATTGTAGCACAGTGACAGAGATCAGTGGTTATTGGTAGGAATGGCTTTTATAATCTAGTTTAATGGTCATTTACCTTTCAGTGACCTTGGTGTCAGGCAAAATTGGCAGCGCTTTTGCAAGGAATGTGCTTCCTCAATGAGGGCTTTGCAAGCTGCTGCATTTTTGGCTCCAGCTTCTCATGAACTAGGATAGACACTGCTGCAATGCAAGAGACTTTCTGTCTGCAAAGAAAGGCAGAGACTCTTGCCAAAAGAAGCCCTTTTCAGTGCTGTCCCACTGCCACTGAATTGCCGTTGAAACAGATCAGTCGTGTTTAAAGGGTTTCTTTGCTTTATGCTGCAACTGGAGTTGTAGCCTTCAAACCGAGAGAGTCTGTCCGTGGTTCTCAGAGCCTGCCCAGGAGTTTCTGTAAAAAGAGTTGCATTGTCTTGGAGTAAAAGGAGGGAGAGAGCATCTCTCATCATCCAGTTAAGTGCATGCAAGAGGAAGGAGCTGGTAGTTGTAAACCCCATCCTGTAAGTCCTTATTACATGAGTAAAGCCGTGATATTTCTACGCACTTTAAAATTCAGTCCTTTCACTGATTGTCATCCAGTCACTGCAGATGTAAATCTATTAAGTTTTCTATTGACTATGATGCTCCATTGTGTGTTGTGAAATCCTTATGGGTTTTATCCAGGTAATGATGCCTGTTGCCATGGAGAAGAACGTGACATGAGCTGTGCTGTGATTTCTAATGGTACCCCAGATCTGTGGCCATGCTTTGTAAGGAATTGGAGTAGATCATATCCTGGGGCTTGAGAGGTCTGGCTTCAGTACAGGTATTCACAGTGACCTTGGCCAAGCCTCTTAATTGTTCTGACAATCTTAACCTCCAGTTTTCTATGTAGTAGGCTGAATTTTTGCAAGTGCTATGGAGATATTTATTTGAGGTGGTGCCAGAAAGATTATTTGAGTCGCAAAAGGGCTATGAGTGTTCAGAAGAGTGATGCAGCTGTGGAAGAAGGTTTCACAAAAGCGTCTCTGAGAATTGCACTGACTTGGGCTTCTGTCTGCTTCTGGTTTCTTATCCTACCACTCTCAGACATTTGATTTTGCAAGTACATTCTTTGCATCTGTAACTATTGCCCTGCAGAGCAAGCCTAGTTACAGGAATCATCTCTTTATGTGCTCTCATTTCTAAACTGCTATGATAAGGAAAGCAAAACAATGCATCTTGGAGGGAGAACCATTTGTTTCAGGCTGCTTTGGATAACCACCATGAGCATGTTCCATACATCATCACCACAGCATGATAGGTCTTTAGCCAAGATCAAGCAGTGACTTCCAGCATTTGAAATCCTGAGATAGTTTGACACACAAGGGCTCTCAATTGTTTTTAGTGCTATTGACCTGCTGGGACCTGCTGTGATACTTGCTTACACAGAGGATCTTACAGACCCTCTGCATATTCGTTCTTCTTACTTCTCACATTCATCAGTCTCTGATAAGTATTAGCTTATTCTCTCTCTGATATGAGAGAATGAACAGTCAATGGCAGTTTATTTTTGCAGGTATCAGGTTTGGATTGGGAATGTGCAGCTGAGATCAGAGAGATACTTGCATAGAAGCTGATGGTTTATATACTGCCTCTTGCTGAAGAAGAGCAAAATTATTCTCTCTTGAGTCCCTGAAGTCTGAATCCATTGAAGTCTGACAGAGTCTTTCCACTGACCTCTGTGGCCCCAGGATCAAGTCCTAAATGAGTTGCTTTGAGTCACTAGAGGCCTGAGTTCAGCTATGGTGGGCTGGAAAATGTAACCTACTGTATGGGCTGCACTATTCATAAGTGCTCAGCCCTGTGTGTGTGCTAGCTGTGGATGCCTGGGAGAAGAATAAAGTCATTTTCTGCAGTTGTGGGGGTGGAGGTGGGAATGGGAATTATATCCCCTTCCCTTCAAACCCACTATCATGACATCCATGTGGGCAGCTGTTGCAGCTGACCTGCTTCTGGAGCTTCGAGTTAAGGTTAGGTATTCTTTGTGCTGTTTCTTCTGCTGTCACCCCTGGCACATAAATGTCCTGCCTAGCTGGGCTGACCAGCAGGAACTGACCTCAATTTAAGTCTTCTGAAGTGGGCCACTAAATGATGATGAGTATAGCTGTCATTTACCCCACTGGGGTTTCCTTAAGCTTAGAAGAAATAGGGTCCCTGAAGCCTGAGAGAAGCCAGTTATGAGTAGGTTTGACACCAAATGCTCACAGTTCATTGTTTATTGGTAACCGTGGCATCTAATATTGTTAAGAAATGCTACCCATGTCCTCACAGTTTATGGAAAAAAAGCTGCTGCTTCTTGAAGTGATTCTTGTTTTCTCTGGGCAAAACAGCAGCTAGCAAAAACATTCGAGTTAACGCAGCATGATACAGGTGTTTTCCATTCCCTACTGGTCCTAAATCAGACTAGAAGTGAATTAATTTGGTGCAGAGGGTATAAAACCAAGTGTGAATAACTACCAGTTGGTGGGTTCCTCTGGAGCCATTATTGATTGATCTGGAGTCATTAGACTGTTTTACAGTCAAGCTGGTGAAGATTAACACAATATGAGAGCAGTAGCAAGTTTTTTCAATTAATGGCTAGAAACATAAACCTTTACAGTGTAATTTACACTTTTTCAGTGTTCTAACATGTATTCACCCAAGGAAGGGTTGCCTGGTGGCTAAAGACGGAGGAGTAAGAAGGCAATGGCTTGGCGACCTTGGGGGTGGTAGCTCTTTAACTAGAGATGCTTCAGATGCTTTGTATTATGAAACCAAAAGATTAACGCTTTTCTAGTTCATTGATGTGAGCTGTGACTCACAGGGTACCATGGGATCATGCAGTGTGGAAATGCTCTAAGTAAAGGGAATGGAGCATTGCCCCAGTTAAGTTATCCCTAAGTCACATTCCTTGGTGGTGTGCTAAGGAGTCACTGCTGGGCATGCAGTGTGGTGGTAGCCAACCCAAACTTCACTGCCCATTTCCTCTGCAGATCCTTAGCATCAGGGAGAGATGGAGCTGGGTAGCAGGGGAGCCTCCAAAGGGGAGGAACAGTCCCAGCTGGGTTTGGTCTGTTTTTCCCACACACTGTCATTCTTCTGCGGTGCTTCCTCTCTCTGCATAATACTCTGTTATTTCCTCCCTACAATGGGCTCCTGCCACTACTGCTAATTAGCCCACGATAAACTTTGGTGTGAACAAAAGCAAGCAATTAAATGTCTGTTGCTTCAGCGTGAGCCCTGTCAGAGAAGTGATTTGTTGGTGGCAGAGCTGTGTTAGCACCTCCTCGGGAGGAAAACAAACCCATTAGCCTGCTCAGCCACTGGTACTGGGGAGTGGTGTGTCTGAGCTGCTTGTCTGGGGTGTGCAGGGCTGTCTTTGGTACAACACAGTTTCCTGAGGATCTGTGAGTTGCTGCTGAGTCTTGTGTCTTCAGTGTCCGTGTGGTACTGTGATCTCTGCAGTCACTACCCAAGCAAAATGGCTTGAGAAGTTACCGAATTGTGATTTATGTATGTGGGAGTTTGGGGATGGTTTTCGGGTTTTTCGTCTTTTTGGAAGACACATAAACATTTAAAAATCAATATGGACAGAGAAATAATCCTAGAATAAATCATAAAATCACAGAGTATTTTGGGCTGGAAGAGACCTTAAAGGTCATCTAATTCCAACCTCATTGACATGGACAGGGACGTCTTCTACTAGACCATGTTGCCCAGGGTCCCATCACTCCCAAATGAGGAGGAGACTTAGAAGGAGGAAGCAAAAAACAGGGCCTTTGGTTGATTCCGAGCCAAGTGAGGTTTGAATGATGCTTGCTGGGACTCCAGATGCATGTATCAAGATCTTGCTAGCTGCTTTTGCGTAATCTGAGCCCTAATGCTCAAACTCAGGTTTGACCCAATTGAGCAAAAAGCCCTATCGGAAGAAGAATAGGTATTTACATGGGATTCACTGATGTATGAACAGACTAAGGCAAGTTGGAGACTTTTTGGATTTGGGACCCACTTTCTTTTCAAAACTGGAGACAGAGTTCAAGTTATAAAAGGAAATATGAATTATTCCTGGGCAGAAAAACGCAATGGATCTTGGAAATCATGGAGTTAACGTATGTCCTCTTTTGACACACCACCCAACTGCTTTGCCAACAGTTGTCTCTGTTTATGTTGTAGCTCTCGAGCAGCTGCTCACAGAACTTGAAGATTTTCTGAGGATACTGGACAAGGAGAACTTGAGCAGCACTGCCGTTGTGAAGAAGAGCTTCCTCTCTGACCTTCTGCGTGTCTACACCAAGTCCAGTGGTACAGAAGAGGAAAACCAAGGATGGGGTGGTGGGCTGTCCTGGGAATTGCTACAGGATCTGGAAGCAACATTTTCCTGGAGGCTGGTGGGAAGGGGAGACAAGAAAATTAGAAGGAGAAAATGAAACTGAGTTTATTTTTGCAGTGACCTCTGATTGTTTATGTAGAATTACTATAGTTATGTGTCCAGCTTTACAAGCAAAGGATTCCCAAGATTCCTGATCCTTTCTGTTTTCCTTATTAAACCTTAAGTTTATTTAATCCACTTTGTAAGATACACAGGATGTACTGTTTGGCCAAGTTAATGTTTAAGTAGAAATTTTAACTTATGGAATTTCCTGACTATAAAGCACTTAATTTTTCTGCTTTTTATTATTGCTTGGGATTTTTCCTGCACGTTGCCTCAACCAACATGTTCTCCCCAAATGTACTCAGCAGAGACACCTTTTACATCTGTCTTTGTGGAAAAACTTAGCAGCATGAAAGTAGCGTGTGGGTAAAGAGTTCACTTTTCCCTTTGGTTGCAGGTGGTGATGAGGAGTATATTTATATGAATAAAGTGACAGTCCATAAACAACAGGGTGACCAAGAGAAACAAGACAAAGGTAAGGAGCTGAAGATTACTGGTTGCATCATGTCTTAATGGGGTGATGAAGGCACGTGCAGTTAGAGCCTTGCTTTACTGGTGCTCTGGCAGGTCTGGGAGCTGATGCAGTTGATGGTGTGGAAGGACTGCCATTTTCATAACATTCCCTTGGAAATAGTGCTCCTTGCCAACATTGTGAGGTTATTCCTGGAAGTAGCACTTTGGAGGTCATTATTTTGGGATAAAAATGTTGCCTTCTAAGGCTTGAAGCTCTAGTGCCTGCAATATTTAAGGAAGCCTTCATGCTTTCTTTGGCCACAAAACAAGTCACTTCACCTCTCTGGGACCTTGAAAGTATGTGTCTTCTTTATTGTGTGGTTCTGCTCTAGCCCAGAGGATCTGCACATAACCTTGTGAGGCAAGTTCCTGGGTGCAGCCTGCACTCTTGCTGTCTTCACAGGCAAAGCACCTTCATCTCCCAGGGATGCAAGAGTTCTGTGGTGTACAAGCCAAGAAATTAAACCTAGATAATATATTAATTTCCAATTTAGATTTCCCAAGTTTTGAATTTGTAACATGGCAAAGAACATAATTGTCTAAAAATGTTCTTCCTCTTTGAAGTTCATAATGAAAGCTGTTCTTGCTAATAGCGTGGAGTGAGATGATTAGTGACACACATCTTCTTAGTGCACACTTAGTTGGAGGCTGACCCTACCCCAGAGCTTCCAATCAAAATGGATGAGGCAAGAGGATGTAGCAGGCTGCTGTTGACGTGCTGGTCCTTCAGCAGTTGGGATAGCTCCACTTCCAGAGTTGCTTGGTTTGGTTTTATTGCTTTGGTATTTTTGTTTGTTTGACTTGTTTTGTTCTTTAAACTACCTGCAGCCAAATTTGGGTTGACTTCAAATGCTCCTGGAGACAGGATGTCCTCCCAGATCACACATGCAGCCCCAATGGGATCTCCAGACAGGGCCCTCTGGGTGATGCTGTAATGATCTATAACAGGATCACACACAGCCTCCTGGTAGTTTCCAGCAGCTGAGAGGCAAGAAACATCTCTTTATATAAGTCCTCATTTGAGTGGATAAAAGAAGGCTTGCACTGATCCACCATGCTGAAACACAGGGCAAATTTCAGACAATTTATTTCTGGAGTTGGTTCTTTTATTTCAGACTTTTCCCTGTCAGGGCCATGAGCCTGCCTACTCAGTCACTCCCTGTGGGACCTGGCACTTCTCTTTCTCTGTTTTCAACAACCTCCCTATTCCAAGTAAAACTTCTGAGTTATTTGGAAATGCTGAAGTCAGTGAGACACATGTGTGGGATCTTAGCCACAGCTGCAGCTGGGTGAGCAG